CAAGATGCTAAATGAAGAAAAAGGAAAAAGGAAAAAAGAAGAAAATTTCATCCATGTCCAAGCTGCAAGAAGATTAGTCACTCGGAGAAGTATTGCTGGTGCAGACTAACAAAAAGTTTAATTATGTGGAGAAATATTGCTGGTATAGACTTGGAGTGCGATATAGGTCCTGCATGAGGTTTTGACAAGAAAAGTGTGCAAGTCCAAAATTCATCGAGAAACCAAAACCTAAGTTGTTGAGGATTAAGAGCAATATGTTATGTTTCTTGATTAAGGATCAAGTCACTGGGTGGTTAACAACAAAATCGTCTTCCAATAAAGGATTAACACCTTTGTTTTTATTGCGAGAAAAATTTACTACCTTGAATTTTGTTAAAGAAAGTTTCAATTTTATAATTTAAAATAATATTCTAATTTGTCTTTATTAATATCAAGCATACCATCTTTTTATATAGAGATTACAATTCGTATTTAGGAATATTAATCTAATTTGGAATTTAAATCTAATTAAAAATACTTTACTAAGATATTGAAAATCCTACACTATTTAGAAATCAGGTATTAATGGAAAATATATATATTATTTAGGAATGTAATACTAATTAGAATTTCAACTAGTTAGAAATCTAATACTAATAAAAATTTCAATTATTTAAAAATCTAATACTAATTAAGATTTCATATTTAATTGAACGTCAATTTCCTATTCTTACTGTGCCTTCTATATTTGCATTCATAACATTACTCCCCCCTTGTTTGCAAGTTTATTCTCAAACTTGAATTATGGATATATCTGCCTTATTGGTCTTTTCTTGTTGCTCAAGACCAGTGTCGTGTTCAATCTCGATCCAAAATAATTATTTACATTGGTGACGTAGAACAAATGACTTATCGAAGTTATAACACAACCCTTTCAGTCTCCTTTTTGTCATTTCTATTTTTGTTAATTTCTTTATAAATGGAGATGAAGTGTTACCAGTTGTCGTGAAGTTGCTGCCTTATGGTGTTTTCTAAATTGAATTGTTAGGTTTGATAACGGACTGAAAATGATCATTATAATTGTGTTCGGTCATATCCTACAACTGTTATTTCCTTTCAAAAGCTCTGATCATGCTCATTGCATACATAAAAGTGGTGGGTGATTGGATTTTGACTTCCAGTCTGATTGAATCTACTAGACCCATAGTAAACATGTCAATTTACTAGTCTTGCTGTGTTTTATGGGCACAGAACAAGAGTCTCTGAAACTGTCGTATATAGTCCTCCGCTATGCCTGTTTGTTTTAGGTTGATTAACTCTCCTAATGAATTGTTCTGCAGGGGCGGATCAAACCGCAATGTGCACAATTTAACAAACTGGCCCCATGACATCCCTGTTTCCTCCTGTTGCAGTTTGTAGTACCAAAGTTGAGCATCACCTAACAAGTAAAAGGCTGTCAATCCAACCTCATCGCTATTAGCCATTTTTTGATTAATAAAAAACTGTTCGCAACAATACAGCCAAGTCAACGGGTCGTCCAATCCATCTTAGGCAGGAAAATCAAATTTTGTATAACGATGAATCCTTTCGTTGTTATGGGAACTGATGTTGAATTCTTCGCACCCTGGTTTAGTGTGCCGCTTTTTCGCTCCTTGATTCTGATTTCAACCACCATTATCAGTTTTTACGTTATCAATTTCATTTTTTTCTTACACTTGGGCGATTCGGCTAAAAAGAATTTCTAATTACTGTGTGATTTGGCGCAAACTCTCTTTTGTTGCAGTTTCAGAAGCCGTCATCCGAGATTTTAGATTCAGCTACTTTTCGCGTAAAATTTGGTCGCCTATAGTGCCTTATTTTGATACCAAATTATTATATTCCTTGATTAAAAATTGAGTCACCGAGTGGTTAAGAATAAAGTCGTCTTTCAGTAAAGGGTTAACACTCTTATTTTTATTGCGATAGTGATCTATTTTGTAAAAATAAATTATAACTCATCAAAAAAAATTGCTACCTTGGATCTTATTAAAGAGAGTTTCAATCTTATAGTTTAAAATAATATTCTGATATGTTTTTATCAATATCAAGCATACCCGTTTATATAGAGGTTACAATTTTTATTTAAAAATGTCAATATAATTTGAAATCTAAATCTAATTAGAAATACTTTACTAAAATATTGGAAATCCTACACGATTTAGCAATCAAGTACTAATGAAAAAAAAAATATTATTTAGAAATCTAACATTAATTAAAATTCTAACTATTTAGAAATCTAATAGTAATTAAAATTCCAACTACTTAAGAATTTAATACTAATTAGAATTTTATATTTAATTGAACGTTAATTTTTTATTCTTGCTGCGCTTTTTGCATCTGTAACACAATAGAATGAGAAAACTTAGTGTTTCTAGCAAAAATGCCAAAGAATATTAAGGTGTGACATTCTTTGCTTTCGAACTTTCTAGCATGTATCTTTTTCGAAA